AGCCACCGTGTAACTGCGGGTAGCGCTGCTGGTTCCCTCGTGGACCGCCTGCAAATGTTTTTAGACCGTCTGCGTCCCGCTGAAGCAGCGGGAAATTATCGGGAGGGGGGCAAATTGCTTCAAGAATCGGACGGTTTTTGATACTTGGAAACTGGTTTCAGGTGCGCGTCGAGTATCATTTCGTTGATTTTGTTTCATTTATTATCGGTAAGTATTTTATGATAGAGTGTGAAATGATACGATGCTGTTCGAAATAAACCTTGATGCTTTATGAAATTGAATGGAACTTGAATGATATGTCTTGGTACTGCTACCTGTATTAGATGTACCAGTGAATAATCCACTTTATTTTGTCAGATTTGATATTGATTGCAACGTGATAGAGATTGTTCCATCATTTTTGCCAAAATGGGACAGGAATATGTTCTGAATTCAAATTATATGGCAATTTTATTCAAAGAAAATTGTGAATTACTTGTTGGTACGCTCGGAAGAAGTTAATTAGAAAAGTCAATTGAATAACTATCCTCTTACCGATAATTCGGCCAGCGAAAAGAGCACGCGGGACGGGTGACTCTCGATTTCACCTGAATTTCGTTCCGTCATCGATTTCGAATCGGGTCTTTTGACCCGGTCTTGGGTTTCCAGTTAACTCGTTCGATACGATGAAAATCGGAAAGAAATCCACGGCCGCCAAAGAGCGAAACGGGGGTATTAAAGCCCATGAAGGGGGTGTGGGTGCGTGGGAATGTCGGGATTCTCCTGTGAAAGGGCAGGGTGAAACCGGTTGATCGAGCACCCGTCACTGACAGACGTCTAACCGACATTTTCCGATTCCGCCGTGCGCCCATTCACCGTCTGTCCCTTCCAGCCCCTCCGTCGATCGACAAAAGCGGCCCGGGCTCTTTTGCAAATTGCAAATTGCGGACCTGGCACTTGTTCCTTCACCTCGCAGCTTGAAAAAAACCCACCATACGGATCGGCCACGGGCCAACACATACCCCCCGACGTTCGCTGATAGTTTCCTTCAATTTCCTCGAGTCTTCCATTACAAGCGCACTTTGATCATTCCCTTCCGAATTCACGTTCGCCGTTCAACGCAACCGACCGCTCGCCGTTCATTCCGGACCCGCAACTTTTCCATTGGCGGGCTAACTCCGATCCCCGTTGCTTTTGAACAGGTCTTTAGACCCCCTTGAACCGCAAGCAGTCAGGTCAATTGAGATTTACAGTGTACGTATCGCGAGCTGGGTAAGTGCACGCGAGCTTAACAATTTCTTGAAGGATTCGACGTCGATTGAGGGAAACTTACAAGAAAATACTGTAATTTATGTACGATTAACTTGCAGGAAAATAGTCTTAAGTGAAACTTTTGGATTTTTAAAGCTGCGTCGGGTCACGCAAAATCGGACTATTTTTGGAGTAACATTTCGGATCATAGATATGTTGTAGTTTCTAATGATGTATAAATGTTTCATAAAAATTATATTCTTTTCTTTTCACTTATTTTTTCTTATAGAATCGCCTCCTGCTCGGTTCTATTAACCGACCTGAGACACTCTGTATATCGCCTTATAATTTAACCCTTGTCTGGGCAACTGGATACCCAGATATCCATTTCTACATATATTTCCTTTCACAATTTTTTATGTTCCTCTGTAAAAGAGCCCTTGATATATTATAAGAAAGGAAAACTCATAGTTAAATTATCTATGTTTATCTAATATAGAAATATAGATGTATAGAAATATAATAATAGAATTATATTAATTTAATATGGAAGAATAGGATTTTCGAGGTACTTCGATTGCTCAAAAACCGTGAACATTTTGGTTGCCAAAACAAAAATGAAGAAAAATAGTGAATTAATATAATGACTTGAAAGGAGTATGATAAATATTCCCGAAGCCGACATTCAATTTAATTAGTTGCTTCATTTTGATACCAAAGGCTCCGACAATAGTCAGTTACTCGGTAAGTAGATCATGAATTCCGAAGAGCTCCGTGCGTAGAAGGGTTTCTGCAACGTCGAACAGCTGAGGCTCGAAAAGGGAATCCCGGGATAAGTGTAAATTCCCCTTCGACACTGGATTATCTGTGCTTCGTTAGAGGATTACCAGCTGCCGTCTGGTAGTTCTTACCAACGACAGACGGATCTTTCGTCCGACCGACGACGAACGTCCTGCTGATTTCATCGGGAATCTAAATTCGCAAACGAGCTCTCCCTATCGATAAAAATACCAATGAAATTTACATTTCTATATATTGTATTTCAAAAATAAATATTTAATCTCGAACTACCAGCGTTGAATGTATAATAAATTAAATTTCATGATATACATATAAATATTTATATTTATATTATATGATATCGTAAAGAATAATAAAGCGTAATGTAGAATATATAGTTAATTAAATGTCGACATGAATATAAACGAAAGCACTTTCATAATATCAGTAATTGTAATATAACAAAATTGACTTCCGTCAATTTGGCGGGTATGGTAGTTCTACTGTTAAAGTATCACGCGACATATCATCATTGTAAACTTAACTGCGACAGCGGAATGTTCCGAATCACGACATCAGAAATACACGGAAAGTGAAGCAATATACGGTATCCATAATTTCCCCCATTTCTATATTTCGTTCAACAATCGTACCGTCGCCGGACGGAACTCGGCGGAAGGTAATCAAATACCACGATCGCGAACGATCGGTGCACGCCGAACGATCCAGTTTAAATAAGGCTCCCGAGGAAAGTACCACTAAGTTCACATCGATATTCATGAGAACGGTAACCGGCGTTTCCCTGATATTGGCTTCTGCGGCGTGTTTGTCTTCCAAATAACTTCTTCGACGGTCTTGCTTGTTTCCCCCGTCAAATATTTGAGGTGTGTAACGGACGTCGACGATATTAAGGACGGACGAAAGAATCGGCCACTTTATCTTAGGATAGGTACGCGCTGTCGTCGATCGCGACGAAACCGAACGAAGAAGAGAAAGACAAAAAGGAAACCGTGTAATTTTCCTGTTGGCAAAAGAAAAAAAAAACGACGGAACGATACTTTTCCCCGTCGTGCTTTTCTTCCATTCGCAAGAATCTCGATCCGTTAACCCGGTGGCGAATCGGTAGGGGCCTGCGGAAAACTCCTTGGAGACACATTGCCCGAAGATTCTTGTCTCTCTTGTGGATGGCACCGCGATGGTGGCCAGGTTTGATGCCCTTTGTCGGCTTCTCGACTCCTCGTCTTATCTTCCGTCCTTCGCTCTTGGAGCTCCCAACACTCCCTCCCCCATTGGTTGCATCGTCGAGCTGCGGCGACCCGTCTGATTTTGCGGTCAGCCAATTAAACGGGACCGCGGCACAAAGGGATCGTAGTAAGGAAAATTTCATTGTCCTTGGTTCCAGGATTGTTCGACGATGGACCATCTCTCCCTTTGCGACTCGACGCGTTTACTACTCTTAAAAATCGGCTTCTGGCCACATCTTCCTTCCTTTGATTCATCGTGGTACCAATACACCGTTTTGCTTCTTCGAGTCACCACTTCCTTTAACCGACGGTTATGAAAAGGTAATTGATCGTAAACAGGAGGGAACTGTATTTTTATGCCGCGTCTTCCAACCGAGTTATTCTTATTAGGCTTCTAAGTAGTTGCTTATTAACGTAATATAGCGATCGGGGGAGAATGAAACGGGCGGTTGTTACCGCGATAATGAACACAGTAATTGGCCTCTCACTCCTCGAGTCTAGCCGAGCCCGCGCATTATTACGCCGGAAGTTTATTTATTCGCGGGGAACAAAGAACTCCGCTCGAAAGCTGAACCGTCCCCCTGCAGCCCTTTCGTCCCTCCGTTCATTATCTCAGCGACAATTTTGTCATCCCCTCGCACTCCTTTGCACGGTCGTAACATCGACGAAGCGTTACCTTAACGCCCGTAATCGTTCGTGACATTAAGCCTTTTGTCTCTTCTTCCTCATCTTTTTCTTCGTCGCGAGAGCAAGCCGCGCGTTAGTTCGAGCGTGCCGGCGAACAGAGTTCCTCTGTCGACCACGGGTGACACCACGTTCCGAGCCTTTCGATGTAACAGAAGAAAATCGATCGGAGGAGATCAGATCTTTTTTTTTACTCTCCACGGTGGAAAGAAATAATACCGTTTGTAGTTTCGTTTTTTTCCAACTTGGAAGATAAGTCATCGTAATTTCGATTAATCAGAGACAAGCGGAAATGGGCAAATTCGGTATCTGGATAAACAGTTTCGAATAACGCATGAAAGATATGATAAAAGTACTTAGACATTTCTAATTGATTAAATGTAGAAACACTATGTTTTTTTTTTAATAAACAGATATTGAGTCTCGAATGAGCAGACACTTGGCAAACAATTATTTAATCTGATCAACTATTTGTAGAGGACCCTAACAGTTTAGTTTGATCTTTTCCTAGCAGGGAATAAGATCTGCAGGTACGAATTACGACAGTTATTTCATGTGGTTGAAGGAGAAATTTTGCCTTTTTCTGGGACACATTATACAGATAACACATAATTGCAGGAAT